CTAAAACAAATCTATTATTGATGATCAGGTGCCTTCCTGGTCTACTACCTTGAACATTTGTTTAGGAGCAATGTCTTATAAAGGGTTTAATTAGGAATTGGTGGTTTTGGAAAGCTGTCAGTTTTGAAGAAACCTAGAGAAACCTATATCAGCTAATGAATCATAATCATTGGCCTCAGAAGGAATTCAAACCCTCATTAATTAGGTGTCCAATATAAGAAATTAGGGTCCCCCCAAAAAAATTGGCATTATTCACAACCACTTTTTCAATCATGGGGTCCAGAATAATTTTGGAACAATTTAGCATTATTGAGGACCGGTGTACTAATCAGCATCCAACATTAGATGATTAAGGCAGCAGTGAATCAACGTGCCTGGAGGACACCCTTTGCCTACTAGTAGTTTGGTATGTCAGGAACCTACTCTTCATGGACTTCTACTGCAGGAATCGAAATAGTTGATTTTTTGACGAAGCAAACCCGGACACTCCAATGCACGGCATATTTACATACATTGGGGTGGTTTTAGGGGTCAATGTAGGCATGCGGAATAATGCATATAAGGCATATAATTTAATACATAATATAAATACATAAGTATATATATATATATATGAAGTGTTTGGGAAAGGCTTCCTGCAAACCTTGTTGAAGGCCCTTTTGACCAGGCCTTGCCACTGGAGGGGCCGCTGAAGTCGGTCGTGTTGTTGGACTCCGTTGAATTCGGGTCGCAGGGCCGTAGGCAGGGAGGATCAAGAGATATCAAGTTGGGATTGAGTCTTTAAAGCATGATCTTAGGAAGAACCAGGAATCAGGTCTTGGATTTGTTGGCACATCAATATTGGGCATGCAGAATAACCCCCCGCACAGGTCTCATGCTGGAATTCCTTGATGCATCGTGTCGTCCCGTATCCGGAAAGGCAATGTCCGGACACTCGCGGTTTGGGATGAGGAACAAAATGACGGAACACGGCACAAGTTGGATCAATATGGCTGTGGGTCAAATCCGGGGCACCGCAAAATGAAGCGAATAGATCACTCGAGGCCGCCATGGGACTAGGGATCCGGGTTCATTTCAAGCAAGCATCTTCGTATATGACCTATTGTAACAGGACAGACCTACGCCCCACCCTCTTGGATTTGCACAGCTTGCTTCGTGAGGACTGCCCACTCTTCAGGTCCACGGACCAGGTGGCGATCGGTTGGTGGATGTGTTCAGCGCTTGCTACCCCCTGATATAGCGGGGTTCGTTGGAAAACATGGGGAGCCTGTTTTTGTTTTTAAAAACAAATATAGTTGATTTTTGGTGGAGGACATTAACAGACATCAAGGATTAAGACCACCAGTGGTTAGGGCTTCGGGCCATTCGGACGTTTTCTGCTTCTCAGAAGCTGGTGGTCTCTTTCGCTTCCCTGTCTCGCTTTCCATCCCGGCTGGCGGGGTTACTTAGCAGCCTCATCAGCCAAACCGTTTGGTTCCGCGCTCATCGGAGTCATTCGACGGTTCGAACCCCTGCGGACCCTCCGGTTCTCCTGTGTTCAAGTTGGCTCGTGCGATTCAAGCGCCGAATCCTGAGCTCGAGAAAAGGTCCTTGGGCTGCTGGTCGGGGCTCCTGAAGTCGAAGGTAGAGAAGAAACAAAACACCACAGTATATAGCCTGGGAGTCCAAGACATTCCAAGACCATGTAACGGTCTGTAGGTGATCCGAAAAGGAATGTCCTTTTCTTGAGTGGTGCAGTGGTGCCAAAAAATAGTCGGAATTCCAAGGTGCTCCCCTTTCTTATTGGAGGCGCTGTTGGTTGATTCGAATGAAGAGCGATTTCGTAACAAGACGAACATCCATTCCTGTAAGGAAGCTGCGAAGACGAGGCAGCCGTGCATGCCTCGAGGACGAAGCAGCGCAAGAATGATACCTGAAATGATTAAAAGGGGAGAAGATCGCGAAGATTGTCAGATCCCAGAACTTCACAGCTTAGTTGACTCGACGTTGACTGAACAACAGAACTTGCAGAACTCGAGCAAGGCGAGCAAGTTGGACGAAGACATTGCAGTGCTGCAGAAGTTGCTGGTTGAAGCGAAGCAAGAAACGGAGAGGTCAACTTCAAGATGCTGCATTTGCAAGACTTCGAAGGCTGCAATTGCCAAGTGAATCGTAGACCATAGAGTCCACAATTTGAGTCATTCATTTGATTTCGTGAAGCAGCAAGCCAGAAGAACTGGTTTCACAGCTAGTGTTTCTAAGAGTGGCGAAGAAGGTGCTGAAGCCCGGGATAGTTCTGTGGTGTTCGGGCCATGCCAGCATGCTGGCGTACCTATTCGGAGAAATTCAACACGGCTGACATTCCTAGATGTCCTCTTTGCCGCAAGCCGTTTGGAGGTTGGATGAATATTAATGTGCAGCTTTTTGCTGATCCAACGTTAGAATGATACCTGGCTTCAGCCTAAGGATCTTGTGATCGCATGTGTAGACACCAATTTGAGTACGGCTGAGGCTGGTGATAAGAAACCACCTTTTTGTCGATAGAGTCTAGAATATTGCTTAATTCCAAGTGTTTGAATAAGAAATTTGATGCCAGGTAGACTCTAATTAATGTTGGGTTTCTTAATCCATGGTTTGTATGTCCCACATATCTCTCACTTCCCCTTCCCGCCGTGCGGCCGGCCACTTCATTGCGGATGCGGCCCACTTCACTGCCATGAAGGTGCCCCGGGTTCCGTCGGGCGGTGATGCCGGACATTTTTGTTGCACTTTGGGAAAGGGGCTTTCAAAGGGCTTTGAAACTGTTTGAAAACAGATTGAAATAGACAAAAACCTCTTCTCTCAAACAAACTATCCAGGAGAATTACCCAGCACCGGGTCCACCCAGACCATCCGTGTAATTATGGAATGCTTCTCTACGTTGTTAGGGATTGCCTCTATGAATGGGATATGATCGGCAGGTTGCGGCACTTCCACTGAAACTGTTTGCGCCACCACCACCACCACCACCACCACCACCACCACCTATGAAAGTTAAAACTCTCGTGAACAGTTCCGAAAAACGTGAACGTCGAACCAAATGAATGAGACCTCAAACCTAACGCGAATGCTCGGACGCGACTGTCCGACACGCCCACCGCCCAGCGCCCACGCGCGGTTTTCTCGCGTGAACTTGAGCCAATGACCAGTCAGTCATGGCGAGGTTCGACTTCAACGAACTTGGTACACTTTCTCGATTTGTGCTCTCGAGAGTGCTTGGGATGGTACACTTTATTGTGCGTGTCATCCTTGCAAAAACTCATGCCCAAAAACGGCTCTGGCAGCCGCAGGCGTGAACCCTTATGCATTGCATCTGAACAGAGTGACTTGAAGAGGATTGGGCGAACACTATGAGGGAACCTTTGGTGTCACTATTTCACACCCCCCCTCGACCAAACACTGTTATGTCACCAAGCACTGTACGAAAGGTTATGAACTTTACACGGCTTAGTGGTTATGAGCCGTACTCTTATGCATGCTTTCACGGGATGTGGATGCAATGCTTGCAAGGCTTGAAGACTCGGTTCAAGTCGATGGCGAGCAGGCAATCGCATTCACCAGTCTCTCG